GTAAACTGATTAAAAACACAAACAGATTCTAATTGTTTACATTGATACCAACACAAGAACAAAAAACACTCAATTTACAAAGGCTAAGGTACAGGAAATATCTCAACAATCAAATAAGACACTTACTTAAAACACAAGAGATAGCAACAGAGGAAACTTCATAACTTAAAACTCTACACAATACCTGTGCTCAAATACCTCTGCCAAGCAGACACCAACACACCACGTTAACTTAAAAACAAACATCCTTGAAACATATTTAGAGTTTCCCCGATAGTTTAGTGATTAAATGCATTGTATAAAATGCTACTGAGCCATAGAACGAGGATTTCAGGCTCAGTATGTAACCCCTGGGTTAAGAAACAGGTAATTATCAGCCACACATCCTGGTCATTAATCTAAGTAACTTCTACTGGAAGGTGCATGCATATACAAAATGAAGACAGCATTGGGTGCGTCTGTGGCGTCCCTTGTTGTCTAAATTTTAAGATTTTTAAAGAATTTGTAAATAGTAAATTCCACCATCCCCGATTGTGACCCTCGAGAACTTCATTCATTTTGACATTGATCATACTTTTAACATGCAGATTGCAGCCTTGGTATATGCACGAGATTGGTGTCCAAGCTGAGTTCCAGATTTCCATAAGATATCCACAAATCCTTTACAAATCTCACAATTTAGGCCCACAATGTCTGATTCTTCTCAGATGAGGTAGCCCAGGGCTGCTGGTGCCTAATGAGCTGCACTCAGAACGAGTCAACATTTTCTTAAGAATGAAGAAACTAGGGGGAAATCAAGCTAAACACCCCAACAGAGTGAAATTCTAAACCATTAATTAACAGTATCTGCTCTGTCAAGCACGCATTACTTAAAATGCAAAGTTAGGTAAATATGACTTACCTGAACATAATAGTATTTATCAAGTTTCATTCGCAACAACAACTTGCAATTATATAGCACCCTTCACGCCGTTAGCGTCCCCGTGAGGCCTTTAGGTGGGATTTGAAAGTGGAGGGGGGGGGGGGGGGGGCAAGACGGGAGAGAATGAGGGGGAGAATTCCAGAGATTTGGGACTTGGTGGCTGAAGGCATGGCCACCGATAATGGAGCAAAGGGGCGAGGGACGAACAGGAGGCTGGAGCCAAACAAGCGGATGGTAGAGTGGGGGGTAAGCAAATCGTATAGGTAGGGAGGTGCGAGGGCATGAAGGGATTTGAAAATGAGCAAGAGGATTTTGAAATCGATCCATTCAGTAATTGGGAGCCAGTGGAGTCTGACAAGAACTGGTGTGATGTGGGTACGGAAGTGACAAAAGCCGTGAACGAGAATTTCGGCTGTGTCGACTGTGAGGTACAGACGGAGGCGAGCAATGTGACAGGAGGTGGAAAAAAGCAATCCTGGTTAGGGAACAAATGTGGGGTAGAAAGGAAAGCTGGGAATGAAACCGTACACCTTAGTTGCACATGATGAGTCTGAGGGAGAGCCAAGGGAGGGTGAGGAGGTCAGAACTTGCAGGAGAGAAGACAGTGACAGGAGTCAAAGAGTATGGCTTCGTCTCACCGACATTCAGCTGCAGAAAATTTGCGCTCGTTCAAGCCTTGATGTCTGACAAGATATCATCCGACTGGGAGTCGCAGCTGGAGGAGAAGTAGATTTGGATGTCATTCACATACATGTAGAAATTGACCCCATGTCTGCAGATGACATCGCTGAGAGGAAGCATGCAGATAAGGAAAAGTAGTCCAAGGATGTAGCAGGAGGAAAAACTGTTTGCCGAGATGTATTGTTAAGTAGGACTCATTGCACGAGAGGGTAATATGTAACTAAATCAATACTATTCAGGTAAACACCACTGGAAATAACACAGGGTGACCAAAAATATTTATGTTTCAGCTACCCTATTATCTAAAAATATAATTTCTTTAAGACGTATTAGACATTGTAATGGTATCACGAGTTTTTGGTCACCCTGCATTTGTCAAGCTTTATAGCTGCTAAAGAAAAGACTGCAAACGGTTACACGAGTATGCTTTGTCAACAATGCAGTTCCATTTATACTAACAAAATAGGTATTCATTGTACGAAGTACAGTAGCACTGTATTGCAGCTGGCTCTGCAATAACACTAGAACACATTTTTCCAATACAAGTTTTCATGACTTAAGATTCAAATCTTAACCAAATAATATTTTTAGGTAAAACTTTCAGGAAAGCTTTCATCGGTATAGCTACATAAAATGTTCGCCAAGATGGGACTGCATAGTTTCCATTCCATTTTTGGCAAGACAACACAGTAATAAAAGTAGTTTGCACTAAATCTTGGTACATCAAAAGTTCTGAATAAATTCCATATCGTGCAAATTCCAAAAGTTTGAGACATTATCTAATATAGCCCATCTGTAATTTTTGATCATGTAACGTCTGATGGTAAATTACACACACAATGCCAAATTACTAATTAAACAGATCAGTACAAGTTTTGTGGGCCAAGTGTAGGAGGAATGTGGGGGGGTGTAAGGAGAAAAAGTAAAAAGCGAAGACAATGTAATTCCTATTCGGTTAAGTGAGAATTTGATTCTTTTCCATATATAAAATTCCAAATCCCAGTTGAATTATTTTAGTCCACTCATTCTCTAAAAAAACAATGGCACATTGCGATTAGGTTCTAGTCATTGCAATGAATGACCAGAACCTAATTTCACCAATACCATTTTTTTTGGAGTTCCCTGTCATTGGGAAATATCCCCATCAGCAGCAAAGAAAATGTCCAGCAACATGTACACCATCATTATCTGGGAAAAAAACAATTCTGATACATCCAATCTTGAAAAAAAATGGTCCTCCTTTACCACATGTGCTTGAGATTATAGACATACAATTACTTTATGTCACATCAAATGGTAGAACATGTTTGTAACTGGATTTCACCATAAGCAGCAATTGATGGATTTTAATGGAGAAAGCTGGGGTGGGGTTGGGAAGAGGAGAGAGAAAGGAAGTAAATGAAGGTCACCTAGATCCAATCTGGTACATATCCTACTGCACAATTACAGAGAACTGGCAGTAGTCTGATAATAGGTAGTACACCTACACTTTTGTTTCACAAATAGCAGAGAAGGGGGGAGGAAATGAAAAAAAAAGTGCCTTTTGATCTTCAAAGGCAACAGTGGGTATGGTTATTTGTAGCATAATTTATTATATATGTTATAACTAGAACAAGCAATCACGTTCAATATTAAATAAGGCAGAAATCTAGGGAACCATTTCTCATTTTACCCACTCTAGAATGAATATATTAAAAGACGAAAAGCACACACCCAAGGAGCAAAGGTTCAGTGAAAAATAGCTCAGATGGCACAGGTCACTCTGTCTGATACTGGAATTCTACATCTCAATCTAACATGTGTTAAAAAATAGCAGCATTACTTTGCAATATGCATCTATTTACCTAGGATATTGCCTGATAAGATGAAAAACACCAGCACCCATCCATCGCTAATATCAGGAATGCCTTACGTACAAGTACAGCATGACCACACCTGTTTCATTTTCCAATACCAGATGACATTAAAATTAACTTGAGTAAACATATTCCTTGGATTGAGAAACTATATTTTACATTATCCCTAAGTATAAAGATCCACCACCACAATTCTCTGATTTACAATAAGCTATTTCATACATGACATGCACAAGATAATGTACAAAAGAAAAAGCAGATCAGGTCAAGACCCCCCTCCCCACCCTTATTTCATTCCGTTTAAAAACAGATGGGTGAGATTACAGGGGGGGAGAAAGGATTACCGAATAGCCTTAGTATGTTACTGTGGTTAATCAGTAATTTGTTTCCCTTGCCTTCATTGTTAAAAAATAAGTCAATGCACTTCACTGGTAAAGCAAGAAAAAAAAATGCATAAAAGGCACAATATGAAATCTATTGCGGCAAAGCTTAAGACTGGGTGAATTTTGTCTCCAACCCACCCCTGAAAACAAATAAGAAGCAGCCCCCAAAATCCAATCATATGTATGAAAATTGCCCCATAAATCATAAATGTCACTGCTAAAATATTTCACGGATTTGCAGATGTGACAGACCTTTGCTATTAAAAGCGCTCTGAGAAGTCCCAAAATCCATCAAGCATTACCCCCTCCCTCCCCAAGATTTTAACACTCTTTCTTAACCGTCCGTATTGAGAATAAAGAGGGGGATTGGGGGGTGAAGCGAGAAGAAAAATCAACGCCATGTTTGTGCGGATTGGGATGGGAGTGTGGGCCCAGATTGAGGAACTCATTCATCATTACAATACAATGGGGGGGGGGAGAGAAACAGACAAATAATCATCCTTTTCTTTCCCTTCCCACCGGCACTTACATCTCGATGAGAAAACAAGATCGCTGAACAATTCGACAACACTCTCCCCCACCACCAAATCGCGAAATTACCTCCCAGAATAGGACACGTTTTGATTTTTGTCTCTCTCTCTCTCTGTCTCTCTCTCTCTCTCTCTCTCACTGCTGTTTCAAGACATCCTCAGCCACTGTGTGGGTGAAATGAAATGAAATGTGCCAACTTCCTTCCCCCTTTCCTCCGACATAAACGGTGCCTGTTCCCTCCCCCACCCCCTTTTCCTCCTCTCTCTCTCTCCCTCCTCCTCTTTGTTCCAACACTTTCTTTTCGCTGCGCCCCCCCACCCCCCCCCCCCACACACACACACACACCCACACACAAAAAAAAATGACACGGCCAATCCGCCGTACAGCACATCCCGTGAAGCGCTTCCAGACGTCTCTCAGCCACGACGATACGTTGCTATATCAAAAACGCAAGGATTATTATTGGAATTATCAATCTTCTGGCCCTTTTTTTTACAAAAAAAAACCCTGGCGGTGGTGGTGGACATTATATTCCTTCTCTCTCCCCTCCCTTCCCCTCCCCCCCCCACTCTCCTCCTCCTCCTTATTTTCTCTCTCCCTTCTTTCTCCTCCTTCTCCCTCTCTTACCAATGGCTTCCTCCTCCCCGCCAGTTGCATTGAATTCACGCCGTTCCCTCGGTGTCCGCTTGGTTGGGGAGACTCCTTTCTTCCTCGCTCCCTTCCCGCTTGTGGCGTGTGACGGGGAGGAGGGAGGGAGGGAAGGAAGAAGGAAGGAAGGAAGGGGTAAAGGTGGGGGAGAGCTGCTTCGGTTGCCAACCGTCGGTCGGGTGAGGAGAATTGAGCGGTTGGGGCGGTTTTTTCTCTCTCTCTCTCTCCTTCTCTCTCTCACACACTCCTCCTCTCTTCCTTCTTCACACAAAACGAGCAGCTTTTTTTTTCCTCCCCTTTTCGTTTCTCTCTCTCTCTTTTTCGTTTCTTCTCCTTTCTTTCTTTTCTCTCTCTGATTTCTTGTCGTCGTTTTTTTCTCTCTCTCTCTCTCTCTCTCTCTCACGCTCTGATCTCCCCTTCGGGTTGCGTTCCGCCTCAAAGCAAAAAAACACCGTCGGCCCCTTCGACCACCGCCTCGTCACGTCACGTCAGTTCAGTTCAACCGGACCTCGGTGTGTGTGTGCGCGCGTGTGTGTTGTGTGTGTGTGTGTAAAAAAAAGAGCGCGGCTCCTCTCGGCCATTAGATGGAGACACAAACAGCCTCTCGTCGAGCGGGCGGATGGGCGCGGCGACAGCCCCTGCGATCGAGGCTCGGGAAACCCCTCGCGCCTGACTCGCGCAGGCGCACGAGGACGCGCTCGCTCCCTCCCTCGCTCGCTCGACTCCGCGCAGGCGCACGAGGACGTACGTGCCGACGTACGTACGTGCTCGCTCGCTCGCTCGCTCGCGGCCGCTGGACTCCGCGCAGGCGCACGAGGACGCGCTCGCTCGCTCCCTCCCTCGCTCGCTCGCCCGCTGGCCGCTCGACTCCGCGCAGGCGCACGAGGACGTACGTGCCGACGTACGTACGTACGTGCTCGCTCGCGGCCGCTGGGCTCCGCGCAGGCGCACGAGGGGGCGCCACCGGCCACCCCACTCCGCGCAGGCGCACACGCCCGACCCGACCCGACCCATGTGGTGGTGGTCTGGGTGGGTGACAGCGAGCGCGCAGGCGCAGATGGCAGGAAGGAACCCATTGCCACCTCTGGATGTGCCACCTGGAGGGAAACCAATAATATATCTTTTTTTTTTGTGTGTGTGTTTTTTTTTTGCAGCGTCCTCTGGGTTTTGGTCCGGTTTGCGGCGAAACCCCGGCCAAACCGAGCCCAAGTCGATAATAATAATAATAATAATAATAATAATAATCCTTGCATTTGATATAGCGCTTTTCACGTCGGGAGGACGTCCCAAAGCGCTTCACAGAACACACTGTAAAGTGAACTGACTGTATATTTGTGGGCGAACGCGGCAGCCAATTGCGCACAGCAATGTCCCACAAACAGTCGTGGATTGAAAATGACCAATTTATTATTGTTTTTGGTTTTGGAGGGAATATTATTAGGCTCTGTGTGGAGTAAGGAAACTTGCCCGAGGTTTCGCCCTCTGCCTGGAATTGAACTCAGGTCTCTCACTTGCAAAGCGAGTGCTCTAACCACTGAGCTACAGGACTCCACAATAACAACGACGATGCCTCACGTTTGACCCGGGGCCCTCATCGGGGGCTTCGAGACGTCTCGGAGCGCTTCCCGGGACACACTGTAAAGGGAATTGACTGTATATTTTGCGGGAGAAACGCAAAAGCGGCCAATTGGGCGCGCGGCAGCGTCCCCACAAACTGGTTGTGGACTGAGTGAGCAGTTATTATTTTTGGAAGGAATTATTACCCCTCCCGGAGAAAAGCGATCCGCCAATCGACTAACAACCGGGTTCCTGCTTACTGCTGGGCAAACAGAGGCGTGCGGAGTAAGGAAACTTGCCCAGTGTTTCGCCCTGCCCGGGTATTGAACCCAGGTCTCTCGCTGGCGTGGCGAGCGCTTTAACCTGTGAGCAACAAGACTCCGAAAAAAACAATAACTAGTTCTGCATATAGTTGCAGTTTCCTATCTCGCTTTGTTTAATAATAATAATTTATTTGTTGAAATGAATGTGGTACAGCGAAACATTGTCGTGCATGCGTCGCACACCTTTCCGTGAGTTGCAGGGATATAATCAGCATGACCGGTTTAACGCCTCAGGTAATACTGTATCTAATACTGTATACAGCACAAATCCTAATAGAGCCTAAACAGCTTGTAAAAGATAAGCCCATATCAAGACAAACTGGCCTAAATGAAAGGGGAGTTGTCATATTTAGATTTAGAAACTCTGGAACACTCCTCTGTCCCTCTGTCTGATTCCCCCCTTCCCCATCTTCAGGTCGCGCCTAAAGACCTTCCTCTATAACCGCACTTACGGTCACCTCTGGATCGTGCTCCGCCACTGTCGAGAGCTCTGGGACCCCCTACCCTGTGTGACGGGCACCTTATAAATGCAAGTTGTTTTTGTCCGTTGTTGCAACTTGTGGGATGGTTGCAATATACAACAACTGCACTAAATGGTATCCATATGTAGGTAGCAATTGTATTCAAATATATCATTGTGTATGTAACTGATAAGGCTTCAGTTCTGTCAGTGCAATTCAATAGTACAATACTGTATCTAAATGGATATGGACACTTTTCTGCGGAGTTTTTAATAAATGGAATCTTGTTGTTGTTGTGGTTTTTCAACTCCTTTTTCAACAATACAGAGTCACTGCACTGCACAGTCAGAATCCTAGGATGCGCTTTGAAACGTCTTGACAATGTGATAAAGTGATATATATCAAATTGAAAGATTATTATTAAACATCCCAATTGTTTCTGTACCTACAGGCCTCCGGATCAGTGAGTTCCATATTTTTAGAACATTTCTAGCTTGCTCAGGTAAAGAGAAGGGAACAGTTGTTGTATATTGTATATACTGTTATCTTGGCCAACAATCCCCCAGATAAAATTGGTCACTCTCTTCGTGGTTGTTTGTGGGACGTTGCTATGCACAAATTGGCTGCAGAGTTCACCTATAAAATTTACAGTGACTGCACTCTCCAGTAAGTCCTGTGATGGGCTTTGAGACTTTCCGATGACGTGATAAGATGCCATATCAAATATAAGGATTATTTTATTCATCCCTCCACCGGAATGCTGCACTGTCCTTTATCTAGCTTGTCAATGATGCTCATTACACTTCATTCAGCTCACCCGGTAACCTCCTTAGCTCTAGAGAATAAAAGACAAGTTTACCCAGCTTTTCGTCATAATTAAAAGCACAGCATCCTTTATTTTTATCCTTTATATATTTAAAAATTATTCTCCCTATTTCCAGATTTTTCTGGAGAACGTTACAGAAATCAAAAGTAGGCGAGATATCCACAGAAAAGTAAAAACATAGGAAAGATTCACGGCTACAGGCTATAGCTGCAATATAGTCCTCCTAAATAAACTTGCAAATGATTCATACCAAATGGCTCAGTGCGTTTTAATTATTTAGCAGCATCGTTCAGTCCTCGGTAGCTAAAAGTGTCAGAATCAATTCTAGCACCATCGATGCTTTAATGGGGGAAAGAGAGGTTAGGGTAGGATAAAGCATTCTCAGGCAAAGAGACATTACAACAACAACAAAAAATTACATTTGCACAGCGCCTTTCATGTCGGGAGGATGTCGCAAGGCACTGAACAGTCAGGGATTTGCACCCGAGCTGGGGTTGGGCTCAGGAGGGTGGAGGGCAGGGAGGGTGCCTCAAAACAGTACCCGTTGCCTTCGTTTCTCCAGGTCTGGCCTCCTCCTCGTCCCCGAGTCCTCCGCCACCCTTGGCAGCCGTGCCTTCAGCCACTATCCCCGAATGCTCTGGAACTGCCTTCCTCACTCCCTTCGTCTCGCTCCTTCCCTTCCCATTTTCAGGTCTCTGCTGAAGACCTTTCTTTTTGACCGCACCTTTGGTCACCTTCCCCCCCCCCCCCCACACCCCTGGCTTGGTCCCGGGATCCGTTACTGTAAAGCGCTCTGAGACGCCGTCCGGCATGGAGGGCGCAATATAAATCCAAGTTGTTGTTGTTGTTGTAGGAGGGTGACCAAAGGCACGGTCAAAGAGAAGGGTCATGAGACGGGCCTTGAAGGAGGCAAAGGAGGGATCGAGGTGAAGGGACTGTGGGATGGATTTCCAAAGGCTGTGGACAGAGACACTGAAGGACCAATATTAGCAAAGAATCAGCAAATGGCATTGGCCAACTGTTTGTGCTGCATTATTTTGTCAGGCTGCCCCATCTTGTAGCACCATGGCTTGTGGTGGTTATGGGATGCGCAGGAGGTTATGGGGTTCCAGCGAATCCATTAGGCTGTCATCCCACAGCAGCACTGCAACGCTCTTTGTAGAGAGGAGAGCATTTCCCCCCTCATCTCACCATAATCTTCCAATGAAATCACTGGGACCTTCCTGTGCAGAATGCCTGCTGTTACAATAATAATAATAATAATCCTTGCATTTGATATAGCGCTTTTCACGTCTTCTCGACGTCTCAAAGCGCTTCACAGAATACGCTGTAAAGTGAATTGACCGTATATTTGTGGGCGAAACGCGACAGCCAATTGCGCACAGCAGCGTCCCACAAACAGTCGTGGATTGAAAATGACCAATTTATTATTGTTCTTTGTTTTTTGGAGGGATTATTATTAGGCGTGTGGAGTAAGGAAACGTGCCCAAGGTTATAGGCTACAAATACACACAGCCACTACACTTGACAGCAAATCCCTGCAAAGCTCGTTTTGACATTCTAGGTGTCATTCAAATGCAAAATGCACAGTCAATCTACTTTACAATATATTCTGTGAAGAGCTTTGAGACGTCTCAATGACATGATAAGGCGCTGTATCAAATGGAAGGATTATTACTAAGGTTATAAGTTCTTTCCTTACAGCACGCTGGAGTTCCAATGAGACGTCAGGAAGGAAGTAGCCTTTATCTTTGCGGGAAAATCCGCAGAGGTCATTTCCATCTTTTATGAAGGAAAACCATCAACAACGTGCCTGACACATAGGACAAACACTTCAGAATGTTCAGGAACACATTGGGGGTTGATCAAGCAGTAAGGAGAGGGACGGGAGTTTGAGGGTGTTGAATTTGCCGAAACCCATCACTGTCCTTAAACGAATCCAAATCAAACTGAGAATTCCCTGCGTCCCACTTACATGTGGAAATTCCAGAGATAGATTGTTGGAATGGAATGCGCTCTCTCTCTCTCTCTCTCTCTCTCTCTGCCTGGACGGACGCATCCTTTTTACCTAATTCTGGAAAGTATTA